ATCTACTCGGCTTTGTTTTAATCTCTTTAATTATATTCTCCAAATATTAGTTTTACTAATATCAATTAAAGCTGTCTACTAGAATCAATCCTAAATGTATTTGCAGTCGAGACATCCTGGTGTGAGAGTGCCACATGTAAGAATATTATTATTTATACGTTTAGTTAATTTCTCAAAATATATTTTTTTCTCATTTGCATTGGGTGCATAGCAGTTTATTATTCTGATATCTTTATGGTCATAAGTCACATCTCTAATCTACCAATATCATATATTTCTATAATATTATTTATTAAATCATCTTTCATTAGTATTCCCACCCCACTGGTATTGTTTATCCCATTACTACAATATCATTTTCCTTATATTATTTTCCAGTTTTTTTATTGAATTCTCATCCCATTTGGTCACTTGCAGGCATATTATTTATATTCATAAAAAAACTGATTTATTATAGTTCCGTAAACTGGCTACATAAAGCAGATCAGATTCAGCTTTGGATGCAGATGTGCAGTCTGCCCTTCACTCATCGTCTTTCTTTCGGCTAATTGTTCCTGTTCCTTTGTCTCCTCTGGATGAGCTGATCCTCCATTTCAGAGTCAGAGCTGGGAGGGTTCAGACACATTTTGGGGTGAGTAGGATGCATTCTTTGCTGAGAGTGGCTCCCTTTCAGGCTCATCTGTTCTCACTTTCTCAACAGTGGATGCAGCTTTGCTGTTGGTCATTTCTGGGGTAAAATCTCCGTCTCTTTGGGCTTCATCATCCCTCTGCTTTCTGCCCCTCTTTATCTGAGCCGGAGCCCCTCTCTGTGCCAGCTCCACAGCGTGGTCTTTAACCTCCGGGGTAGTGCCCATTTCCTGACCACTCCCCGTCAGATCGAGGGTTGGACCCGTTTTTGGAGCCCTCCCTACCTCTGAACCCCGTTCCAGCTCATTGTGAGCTTCATCAGCCTCCAGGCTGCTTTCCTCTGGTTCTGCAGCTTTGGGCTCCTCCTCTCCCAGCTCATGCTTAGACTCCCTCCATACTGGAGTGTGGCTCGCTCTCTTCACTCTCACACACACACACACACACACATTTATTGATCAGATGGGGGCAGACTGCACATCTTCCTCCTCCCTCAGTGCACTCCCTGCATAATGTCCATGTCCTCATCACTGGTGACCGTTAAAGTCTGGGCCCTCTCTGACCAGATGTCCCGGCTGCAGACATATTCTGCACACTATCATCTATCACTCTAAAGAACTGATGTCTGTTTGCTGTTACATTGTGCAGAGTATGGAAGAGACTACACAGCTTCTGTAAACCTTACTTTCAGGAATCTTGTTCCATCTGCGATCCATGTTTCCGGCCACATTCTCCTTTTTATTCTCGACACGGCTTCCACTCCCCAGCCTTTTCCCCAGTATTCCTCCATCTGTAATGTAAACAGGAAGGTTTATTAATGACAACACCAAATCATTAACCACTTTCCTTCCTGTAATTGTTTTATTTCGAATTTTAAATCCATCCATGAGTGTTTCTTTTGCTCTTTCATTAGTCAACGTTTTTTTTTTCAAAGGCCTTTGGACATAATGGCCTGAATCCAACTATTCCTCCACACAGAAGTCTAATGCTCTTAAACAGTTGAACCTTTGAAATGTTTTCTTCACCCTCTACTTCTATTACCATGTGTGAGAAAGCGGCTTGCCAGCCCCCGTCTCACGTCAGAGGAGGAGTAAGCAGAATACTTGCAAAAAGGTGGTAAGAACCAGCAGACGACAAATTCCAGAGCAAAAGCTTGTGGCGGTTTATTTACAGGTGCGATGGTCAAGACAAAAATAACAAACTAAATACTTTCAAACAAAGAAAACTAAACCGGCCATTGCAGGCAATACAAAGAACTTAGAGCCTCACAGCAAGCTGACATGGAATACAGACTACAACCAGTCTCTCAGAGCAGACCTCCAGTCTCTCAAAGCGTCTCTAAGCACTCTCCCAGCAGCCCCCTGGCATTGTGAGTCTGCCCCTTAAACAGGCCCACCAATAACCAGCCAATGGGGAAACTCAACAGGAAGGCAAATCACAATAAAGTGCAATTTACATTCTAATAAATACATACAGCCTGTAGCATCACTCACAAAAACATCCATCATTATTAAATAGCTGAACCATGATAACAGTCCCAGTTCACCTACTAATTACCATGCAAACAGTTATAAAAAATATTAACCCCCCTGTCCCACCATAGTCCTTTCCAGTGTCCTGGGACAATGAATAAAAAGCTCCGATGCGGTACGCGTTCCCACACGGACCAGTGTGCTGACGGACCAAGGGCCAGAAGGTGTGTGTTTGACTGGGAAGTTTTATTGTGGACTACGGAGTGTGTGAGGAAGCTGGTTGGTAAATAAAGTGTGTTGAATGAGAGGTGTTGTGGTCATTTCTGAACTAGCGTAAAATACCGGGTAAATTGTTTGAAACTGCCGCCGCTACGACGGCCGGTCTGTGATGCATGCTGGGAAATGTAGTGAGGGGAATGCGTGGACGTGACGGTGTGTGCGATAGACGGCGGCTGCAACTCGGGAACCGAAGGGGAAAACGGCTCCGTTTTCACACCATCGTCAGATCTGTTTCAGATTTGATTTCTCTCACCGTCAATCCGGGTTGTTTCCGACCAAATCCTTTGGTCGATTTTTTCTTTGTCCATTTCCAAGTAAAGTAGAACAAAAAGTGCCCCCCCACAGACACGGTTGATGGGGAAGGATATATTCCACCAAAATACAAACAAAGAATATGTTTAATATTGGATCCCACATGGTGAAGCTCAGAATGATAGTATCTATCATCAGATGCTGCTGACGACAGAGGCACCCGTGCATTAAGGAATATGAGAAAAACAGAAGAATATTAAATCCCAACCTGTAAGTTTGATATGAACACATCTGTGAATTTTGAGTGATTACCAGGTTTTTCATTGCTCAACATTGGAAGGTTCCACGGGACTCCTCCAATAATTCTTCAAAGACCTCTCCATCAACTTCTGTGTCAGATTGGTCAAATACCTTCATATCTGGATGCCTACCTTCTGAATGTTACATTTTTGGCACGCTGAAGTAAAGGAAGGAAAGGGAAAGTGATGTTAGAGCAACAAGACCATTTAGTTCATATGAGAATTAAATCGTAACAAAGTAGACTGATGTCTTCACAAAATGCTATCAAGTTGAACCTTAAGTTAGTAGGTTATTCCCAAGCATTTAAAATGCACAGCAGAAACAGTTATCAACTGAGGGGAATGATTTACGGTGAATTAGGTGGAATTAACCAGGTCAAAGGTTGTAATATTGTGTTATCCTGAATGTACTCTCCAACCTTCTTCCATGAAGGCTCCTAATGTTAGGTCAGACAGCCTGACATACTTCAGCTCCCCACCAAATGACAGCATATTCTACTGAAATAAACAAAGGCAAAAGAAAGACAGACACAAAAGTTGAGCAATGAGTTACCCATTAATGCTTAAATTGTTCAATTGAGCCCACTTACCAACACTCAAAAAAATGGAAAATTGATGTAGTATATCTTATGCAATGTATTTATGTTGAAAACATTCAACAAATTCACTTTTA